ACTCAAGTTTTTTATACGGCATATGACTTAGTTCTAGAATTTTAGGTTTATAAGGTACTCGCATATACTTAGAAGTAATTTTAATGGCTATCCTCCCTAACCAGATACATTAAGAAAAACAGTTCATTACCCTTGAAGGCTGCCTAATAGCTCTTAGAAATGCTAAGCTAAAGCTCTTTCTGTGTAACACCTGATTCCAGTTTTTCCTTCTAGAACATAAATAAGGCTGTTTGTTCTGCTCGATGGCCATTTAGATATTTGGAATTAACTGTCATCTTCCCTTATTTTTAATTTAGACTGAATAATTTGTTTTTTTGTTTGTTTGTTTTCTTTCCTGTCAACATTTCTCTTTAACACTGTTTCCAGCTTTTCTGAACATTCCTGGTTAACCTCTGCCAAGTGTTCTCTGGATTGCAGTCAGTACTATGGTCGAAGCTGGACAGACTGCAGTTGAACTTGCTATTTCCCAGAGGACCAGGCCTACCATCACTTCTGTTACTACAATTTCAGATTACATTAACCTTTCAAGCAACCATAGCATACTTTTGTTTCATATTAATCTTAGTATAAATTTAAGGTGCCTAATTGCTACTTGAGAATTTTAATCTTTGTGGCTCAGGGCTGAGAAGGGACCTTCGCAGACCTTGGGTCGTGTTAATCTTTGGAGACTTCACCCTACATGTTGAAATAATCCACAGCTCATTAATGACATAAAAAATTAAAGGCAGGATGGGAATATCTTAAGCCAACAGTCTCAGAGTTCTTGTAGTATGAAACCTACACATTATTTCAAATTCAGTTTTTATCAGTGTTACATTTTAAAATAAGTTGACAGATTTAGTAAATAATTGTATGTAAACATTAATTTGAATTTTGCAGTTTCTTTTAATATTAGAGAACATGATGAGGTGGTTTTCTGGTCTTGTGCATTTTTAGTGGTCCCTTAAAAATTACCTATAAGTATTTCTTAGATGATTAACAGCATTTCAGAGCAAGAGTCATGGTTCAGAGACAGTTTTTAAAGTTCTGCTTTATTGAAGTATAATTAACATCAACTATACATTTTTAGATCTATAGTTTGATGAAGTTTGACAAATGTATACAGTTGTGTAATTGTCACCACAATCAATACACAACGTTTTCATCACCCCAAAAAGTTCCCCATGTGTGTCTCTAGCTAATATCCTTCCTCCTATTCCAAGTGTTTGGCTACTTGGAATCATACTATGTGTAGTGTTTTGTGTCTAGATTCTCTCATTTGGCATAATCCTTTCAAGAGTCATCTATTTCATATATATCAGTGAGTTCTTTTTTTATTGCTGAGTAGTTTTCCATTGTCTACGTACCATATTTGTTTATGCGTTTTCCAGTTAGAATGTCGGCTATTTCCAGCTTTTGGCTGTGATGAGTAAAGCTATTTGCATGTAGATTTTTATATGGGCATGGATAAGTTTTTCTATTGGGTAAGTAACTAGGAATCAAGGTTGCTGGGTTGTGATAAATGTATGTTAAATTTTGTGAGAAACTGCTAGTTCTTCAAAATGCTGTATCATTTTGCTCCCCCACCATCAGCATATAGGTGTTTTGATTGCCCTCTATCCTTGCCAACATTTCATACTATCTATTTTATTTTAAATTTTAGCCATTTTAGTAGGTGTTATACCTCGTGGTTTGTTTGCATTTCTCTAATGACTAATCAGTAATGGTGTGGAATATTGGGATGTCTTTTCATGTCCATATTTACCATTTATATCTCTTAGGTGAAGTAACTTGTCATAACTTTTGCCCTTTTTATAATTAGTATTTTTTTATTGTTAAGAGTTCTTTGTGTATACTGGATCTAACTTCTTTATGAGATAATCTGTTTTGTAAGTGTTTCTCTAACCTGTTAGCTTATACTGTTGTTTCCTTAAGAGTGTCTTTTGAAGAGTAGAACTTTTTTGAGACAGAGTTTCGCTCTTGTTGCCCAGGCTGGAGTGCAATGGTGTGATTCCAGCTCATGACAACCTCCACCTCCCAGGTCCCAGGTTCAAGCGATTCTCCTGATGCTTCAGCCTCCGGAGTAGCTGAGATTACAGGCATGCGCCATCACGCCCGGCTAATTTTTTATTTTTAGTAGAGACGGGGTTTCTCCATGTTGGTCAGGCTGGTCTTGAACTCCCGACCTCAGGTGATCCACCCGCGTCAGCCTCCCAAAGTGCTGGAATTATAGGTGTGAGCCACCGCGCCCAACCAAGAAGAGTAGAACTTTTACAAATATTGATCAAGTCCAATATTTGGTTTTGGGTTGGTTTTTGTTTATTTTCTTAAGTGGTTTAATGGTTTGTGCTTTTTGGTCAGGGTCAGTTTTGGTGGTATGCTAAGAGGACAGCAAAGAGCAGTCTGGTTTGAATGGAGCATGATCTCTTTTATTTAGGTAAAAGCAGAGGAGACTATGAATTTAGGTTGGGGTTGAGTTGTTGAAGGTTAGGCTAGGTGTGCATCTGAGTTCAATATAGAGGATAGATTGTCAGAAGAGGGTTCACTGAAGTCATTTAGAAAAAATACTACACAATAACGCAGGTGATGAGATTGAACTAGAAGAATCAGAATGAAAGGGACAGAGATGAAGTGGTGATCTAAAGCAAGAGAGCCATTAGAGATAGCTCGTGTAGGGTATATGAGATGCATGGCTTGGGGTGCCAGTCATGAATCTAGGGTGCAGATCAATCTGAGATCCTAGTTGCTGCTGAGAGAGAAAAAAATGGTGGCGATTACAAAGCACAGAACCTTTAATAAGAGGATGGGAGGGTGAAGGAGCAGCCAGAAAGTAAAATAGTTTATTTAGATAGTGGAGTTTCATGCTGCAGAGAGGTGTGTGGTGGATGGGAACTGTGAATCCTGAAAGCTATGGGAATTGGTAGTTTGGTCTTTAGCCAGCTTACGTAAGTTTAAGGTAGAGGATACAAGCAGGTAGTCAAAAGGACCAGACGCAGCCTGCCCTCACATGATCCTCATGAAATGTTTCAAAGAAATAGAATACGTTTCTGTAAAAATAGATCCACATAAAGTTTTCAAAATATTCCTAAGTCTGGCAAGGGCGGGCCTACCTGAAGTTTCTCTTGACACACTATAATCGGCTGCTTTGTAGGCAGGCTTGTATTTTTCAGTTTGCATGCCTTCATTTAGTCTACCTGGAGGCATTGTTGGGTGAGAAAGGGTTTTGAAGTGGGAAAGCTTGTAAAGCCTGCTTTTAACAGAAAGTTTCATGGGCAGGATTCAGACCAAGAGGAAAAAAACTTCAAGTTAACGGACCACCTTGAAATTTTAGGCAAAACCTGTACCTGTGTCATGGGAGAGACTGGGATTATGGCCACACTCGATCTGAAGTTGAGGTCAAACTTAGTAATGTTAGCTTTGAAAATAGGAGAGATTTTCATAGACCAGGTTGAAGATAGAAGGGAAAGTCACAAGGGACTTCAACTTAAATTTAGTCTCTCTTATCTTGGCACAGAGGGATGTATCTGTTAATCTGAGGTGGATCAAGTTCCGGCTTGAGAGAGGGAGTAATGTGTGAGACTTTGAAAGTGGTTTGATTGTGAGTAAGCAAGAGATCATCAAAGAGATGCCTTAGATCATGGGCATACTTAGATCTTACAATTTTGATGATGAATTCCGCTAGCCTGAGAACTGAAGTGGAAGGCTACCCCTGGTTGATGATGGGTAGCAGGGATGTAGGAGAGTGGTAAAGTCTTTAAGATCTTGCCCTTTAAAAGAATCATCAGGTGGGGCAGATGATTAAAGATCATTACTTAGGGTTGAATGCATTCAGTGTGTTTAGATTTGCATGGCAGTTATACCCATAAACTCATAAAGAACCAGTGGATTTTCTATATGTCTTGTTCTGTGGTTTTTGGTTAGTAGCATTGATGAACATATTCTACACTCAATAATAAACATGAAGACTTTGCTGAGAGGTTTCTTCATTTCAGCTCATAGATTTGCAACTTATGTAAAGAATTGTTAGGCAGTTTAAAGTAGAAAATTTGGCTCAGCCAAATCTGAGGTAAGATTAAAATAAGGCATGCTATCAATTTGAGAGACTGAGTTACTTAAAACCATGAATAGATAGAAATTCATTCTAATGGTTACACAGGTGTGTGTTTTTTTATTTTAGATTATATTAAAAAGTACATTTGCTAAGATGCTGGGAAATACTTCAACTATGGCACTAGCACCATTAGCTTTAGCAGAGAACCTAGTATTGGTTTTGTTTTTCTTTTTGAGACAGGGTCTCACTCTGTCTCTCAGGCTGGAGTGCCGTGGTGTGTTCTTGGCTCACTGCAACCTCTGCCTCACAGGTTCAAGCAAGTCTTATGCCTCAGCCTGACAAATAATTGGGATTACATGCACCCGCCACCACACCCAGCTAATGTTTGTATTTTTAGTAGAGATGGGGTTTCACCATGTTGGTCAGGTTGGTCTCGAACTCCTGACCTCAAGTGATCTGCCTTCCTCAGCCACCTTAAGTGTTGGGATTACAGGTGTGAGCCACCATGCCTGGCCAATATTGAGTTCTTCAAAAGGGAAATACTTTGATATTTAAGGAATTATAGATAAAACTTGTGCAGTAGATTAGAAATAAAAGAAATGATTAGAATTTCATCTCTGATTTGTGATAACGAGTATGTTATTTTTTTAGATTATTTGTTTTTTAGTGTACTGTCTCAGTTCTGCTTACTAAAAAAACATACTGAAGACTGGTAAGATATTTACTTAAAAAATTTTAAAGTTTTATATTTGGCTGTTTTGTTGAATCATTGTTTCCCAAGGTTATATCAATGAAATACTCTTTTTTTCTTACTGTTTCCCTTTTTACACTTACGGAGGGCTGAACGGGTAACTTTTAAGGTATTGTCTTAAGTGTTAAATGTCTGAATCTATGCTTTCCTTGCCTCTCCAGAAATATTTTAATAACCTTAGAGAAACATGTAGGATTTTCTACAAAAAGTGCTGGCTGCTTTAGAGGTGTCTCCCTGAAGTGATGCATAACCGATCAGGATCTACTCATGTCAACTTTGGTAAAGTTATGTTGCTTGTCAGGGTGAGGAGAGGTTTTGAAATGCAAATTTTCCCATTTTTGTTTTATTACCGTAGAGAAATGTAATAGTAGGTGTCTTTTGGTATAGATAACTTTTAAACAGTAAAGGTGGCTCTTGGACAGTTACTGTTGTGTTTTAAACAAGCAGCAGTAAGGCAGACTGAAGACAGTAGGAAAAATGATGAGCATGGTGGAGGGAAAGCAGTCAGTAACAACTTATGTAATAATTTGCAGGAACTCTTAGAACTGAACCTTACAATTAAGTTGTAATCTCTGGGGTAGATTGTATTATTTCCTTATTTCAGAAGAACTGAGGCCCCAGGTCACGTGGCTGTTTATCTGCAGAGCTGGCATTCCACTCTGCTTAGCTAAGTGCTCCCTCAACCTTGATGCTATTTTTCCTGAGCTGGGTACCAGGGGAGCTTGGATATGTAAAGCTTGGTCGATGTCCTTGATAGGTGCATGGTTCTAAGATTGTGATTTTCATCCTGAGGTTCGGAAGTTACACACCTGCGTGGACAAGGTGTGTAATTAGGTCTAATTATTTTCCATTCTGGCTTAATGTTCATGAGAAAACAGACATGGAAGAGGACTTTCCTGTACCCCTGGTCTTCCTTTTCCTTAAGTAGTGCTACAAGGGCCTGACAGGGAGATATTTTTACTGGTGGCTTGCTGCTTTATTATAGTACAGGTTTTGAGGACAATCATTTCTTGGTATTGTTTTTAAAGTAGAGCAGTGATATGACTAGTCTGAAGTGAACATAGTCCAGAACTCACTTGCTTGGTTTGGGGATTAGAAATATTTGCAAGGTGAACCACCCATTCTCTTCTGCTTATTACACTAAACTGCTTTTCTCCATAACTTGGAGCCATCATTAAGATAGTCTTTTCTATCTCTGTCCTTGAAACCTGTTCAAGTATTTAAAGCTGTTTTCTTCTGCTAGACTTTGAGTTTCTTAAGGGCTGGAGCCATATCATTATATCCCTTTCTCCTGGTCCTGGTATGCAGTATCATTCTTTGAGCAAATACTTTTATTTTTATTTATTTATTTGAGGTGGAATCTCGCTCTGTTGCTCAGGCTGGAGTGCAGTGGCACGATCTGGCTCACTACAACCTCTGCCTCCCAGGTACAAGCGTTTCTCCTGCCTCAGCCTCCCGAGTAGCTGGGAATACAGGGGCCCACCATCACATCCAGCTAATTTTTGTATTTTTAGTAGAGAGGGGATTTCACCATGTTGGCCAGGCTTGTCTTGAACTCCTGACCTCAAGTGATCATCCACCTCGGCCTCCCAAAGTGCTGGGATTACAGGCGTGAGCCACCGCACCTGGCCAAGCTTCTTTCTTTATATGGACTTTGAAACATTTACTGTGACTCTTGGGATTTTTATTTGAAGTCACCTGCAAAGGGATTCCTCCTGTAAATGTCCATATTGCATATTGCTGTGAATATGACTGGAGTTTGTAACTTACCTGAATGTTTCCCTTTCCTGATTACGTGCCAGGTAATACTGAAAGGGGAATGTCCAGAAAGGATGTATGTATTGGATGCTTTGAAAAGAATCACCACCTTTTCATGAATAGACCTCCTTTTATTTATGAATGGACATTGTGCTGTCTGTGACAATGTTTGTAAGTGCTGTAATCTGCTGAAATCAGTGTCTGATTACAAATAAATGACCAAAGTATTTGTCTCCAAGGGAAACTCAGGACATTGTGTACTTTCTAAGGATCCTGTTTCAGTGTCCAGGGGAAGATTTTGAACTATTTGACATATAACAGTTATTTTTCTCCTCTAACATCTTTTTCCCCAGTCTCATAAGGAAGAGAGAAAAGTCAGAAAATAATATTTAAATGGTGTAAGGTAACTAGTTTATTATTTTCATATTAAAAACTGATAGCTTTTCTATAGGCATGAGATCAAGGAAATCATTTTTAGAAATCACTTTCATTGTAAAAAGTATATTAGATGTCTTTTGCCAAATTTTATCTAGCTAGTAATTATAAACAGTATCAGTCTTATTTTCATATTGTTTGTGAACAATATAAAGACCTCTTAGTAGTGATCTAAAAGTTTTCTATTGTCATTGGGTTACCTTCAGAATTGCTAGTCCTGTTAGATTTATTTTTGTAGTTAGCATTTAAAGTTTTGCTCTGTATTAGAAAATAGAAGACTTAGAAAAACAGATAGTGGCAGTTCATCACTTCCCCCACTTTTATTTCCAAGTCATTATCTAGTTTCTCAATGTGGCATTGCAACTCTGATTTTTTACTGTTCATGCACTAAAGCATTTGAGATAAGCCCTTAGTGTTGAGGAAATCCTAAATCCTACTGCTGGGGGGGGTTAAAAGAAATACAGTGACAGGCTATGAAATAGTGTTGTCATAACTTATCAGTGGCTAGTAAATAGGGTAGTTGCCTTCTGACACCATTTTGAGTGAAGGCAGTTTAATTGCGTTGCCTCTGTTTAGATAAGCATTTGGAATCCACAGTCAAATGTCTGAATGCTGTGGTTAAAGTATTTCCATTATATGAGATTTGATTTCTTAAGTGATTTTTTTTTTCTCAGGTTCCATTCTACATCAAAAGTTATTTGGAAAATGTCTTTCACTGTATGTGTACATGGAGAACCATAACCTATAATTGTATGTAAATCTAGTGATTGTGAAAAACAAGAAACCTGCAGACACATTAACAGTTGGTGACTTATCGCCAGTTGGTGATTTATTTACCTACCGCCGCCTCTCAAATCTTGTTAAAACAATTAAACAGTTCGTATTAAGACTTTCTAATTTTTTAGTTGTGTTATTTTTACTCGAAGAAGACTCTTTCCCTGTTGAATTAAGTTTCTAGTTTCTGGGCATAACACATTCAGGCTTTCAGCCTCATTGCTTCTTGCAGCATAAACAATACACACTTAAACTTCTAAGCATTTACCAGGAGACTCATAGAAGGTAGTTGTGGCTACTTGAGCTAATTTTTGCATGCTTTGTCAATTCAGATTTTCTACTAGGTTGAAAATCCACTTTGGTTTGCAGTGGTGATGGGTTTTATCCTCTGATGATTCAACCTTTTTGATTTTTGAAAGAAAGGAGTTTTAACCTTAGCAGTCATGTAGCACTTTAAATTCAAAACAAGAATCTGATTCTGACTCTTGAAATGATACTGTGTGTTTTGTTTTTATGGAATGGGAGGGCCAAATGGGTAGTTAGTTTCTTTTGCAATTGGAATAACTGTCATAAAATCAGAAAGTGCTGAAAGAGACCCCAGAAGTCATTGATTTCAAATCCTCATACTCAAAGAAAACCAAGGCCCAAAGGTAACCAAGTTCTGTTCAAGGTCATTCAGTTTGTTATTTTGTCTCATCCTAAGCGAGAGCATTTCCTCTCTATGGAGTATATATGCTGTACCTGTGTTTTGTTTTTTTGTTTGTTTGAGACGGAGTCTCGCTCTGTCCACCAGGCTGGAGTACAGTGGCAAGATCTCGGCTCACTGCAACCTCCACCTCCCAGGTTCAAGCAATTCTCCTGCCTCAGCCTCCCCAGTAGCTGGCACTACTGGTGTGCACATCCACGCCTGGCCAATCTTTGTATTTTTGGTAGAGACAGGGTTTCACCACGTTGGCCAGGCTGGCCTTGAACTCCTGACCTCAGGTGATCCACCATCCTCGGCCTCCCACAGTGCTGGGATTACAGGCGTGAGCCACCACGCCTGGCCATACCTGTGGTATTTTGTAATCCTATTTGGTTTCTTGCTTTCCCGAAATAAAAACTGTTTTTGAACTGTGCCAGTGGCACTAAGGAAAGAAAGGAGGATATAAAACTTGATGATAGTTATCAAAAGAACATTTCCCCCCACTACTTTAGTGATATAACTATGGAGGAAATTTTAAGCCTTTGCTAATTTTAAACTTTTTTTTTCTCATTTCTTTAGCATCTGATAAGGCTGTGAAATCCCGGTCCTTTATAACTAAAGATGTTTATTTCTTTTTCATTAAATTGGCAGATAGTGTATAACCATATCTTGACTTTCTTAAGGAAAAATCTTGATCTCTGGGAGAAAAACATTTCCACTTTTGATTTGCCCCTTCCATACTTTTGTACACTTAGCACTTAATATTCACGAAGTTTATTGGCTCTTCACAATACCACAACCGAGGCAAACGAGGTGGCATAAGGTTATGTAACCTGCCCAAGGTTTAGGACTAGTAGATGAGAACTGTGTTCCAAACCCCAGGCAGAGGGATGGGAAAGGTCCACAGAGCCCATTGACTTAAATCTGTAAAGCTGGTTGTTTACCTTAGTATACCTTACACCACTTGGAGCCAGTGCAGAGAACTTCATTGTCCTATCCCTGTATCCCTTTAAAGGCCGAGAGTTTACATAGAAATCTCAGTTCTACAGCACTTCACTCATTCCTCCTCTTCGTGTCTCCAGTGCATACCCACTCCCGTCACTCTTAACTGTTTTTCCAGTCCCTCCCTCCCATCCCAGAATAAACTCAGCTGTGCATTTAAAAATACATATTTACTTCCTAAGCATATTTGTTATATGCATTTCTAGGTGTTTTGTTGCAGGGACGCCTTCAGATTATCTGTCTTCAGAATTGCTAGATACAGAAGTTGACCACTCCCTTTTAATCTTTAAATCAAGGAAAGGATTGAGGTCAGCATCGCTGTGTGCTGTCTAATGAATTATTTGTACAGATGTAGAAAAGATAAATATTTATTGGTGTAGTCAGATGAGTGAAAGTTTAGTAAGCTTCTTCAGACATATTGACATACTTAAGCCAGCCGATTTTCTGTCCTTTAGCAAATCTCACCTACATTCTCTGGCATAATTAAGTGGAGTTGATAAACCATCTCTATTTTCTTTCTCCCGAAGCCTGACACCCAGTGGTCAGACTTTGAAACCAGAACCTTCCTGAGGGGGTTAACAGACAAGTGAAGACTTTGCTAGCCTCCTGCCTCACACTTTCCATCTTCGTTGTGGAATAGGTCGCTGAAATACTGAGCTGGACG